TACACTCCTCCGCGGGCTCGCACGGGAAGGAGCCCCCGCCAATCTCGGCCTCGGCGACTCCACTCTCTCAAAGGGGCCCGTCCACTACGTCTTTGGGGGCTAAGGCTACTACTGCTGCTTTTGCGACCTGCACTGGCGGTACGCATTTGACCAGGGGTGTGCTTGCCCTCTCCGGAAGGTTCAGGCCCGTCCTTGTTCTTTCCTCGCTAGTCCTCTTTCCCGCCCCTCGGTAGTTTCCACCTTTCGCGCTGTTTGCTTTTACCTTTAGTGCGAGGCGAGGGCGCCGACGTGCGCGCAGCAGAAGAAGATAGGCGGGACCGGTGTGGCTGCCGGTGGTCGCTGGTGCGGTCGCGAAGCGAGCACCAGCGGCCAGACCCGGCGCGCGTTAGGCGGGAGGGCGAAAGCACCCACTCCCCGCTGTTGTCGCAGCGGCGTGGATGGATGTCGCTCTGGTGAATCCCCATCCTTGCCGGGTCCGTCTGCTGGGTGGCCGGATCTGTCGTCTAGTTGGCCGGATCCGTCGCCTTCTGGGCCCGTCCTTCCGCCTCGGTCGTGGACAGCGACACGCGCGGGAAAGCTAGGGTTACCGCTTCCACGCCATCTCCGGTACCCACCGCCGGTGTTTTCAGTCTCTTTGTTCCATTCTGTTTCTACATTGATTCTGAAATGCTATATAAATTCTAATGATTTATTTATACATTGATGCTACATAAATCAACAACCCAGAAAAATATAATAGGCGGTACTGGCGAACTATGCGTTAGTGATTAGTTAATTGTGTTGATGCACACTGCATTCCATTTCTTTCCTAAACATCAGCTTTGTTACATTCTCAGAGCATAGGCTTTGTTTGGAACTTTGGATTCAACTCGATACACGGGGATTTCATGAAATGACAGCGATGGACTTCCCTATTTTCCTGGTTTGTTTACCCTCCAGCATGAATGCTACGCATCACCTCTTATCTCTTTTCCTTTTCTTTATCCTTACAGGGTTCAGCAGTTATGGATATTGGCTCATTCATTTACATTGGTGTTACCCTTTTCAGTGAAAAAAAAGAATTGTTTGCTGCACCTTTTATGCAACTCGCATAGCCCTCCAAAAGGTTACCCATACATAATTTCAATGAATTATTCTCAGATTAGTTAAATTCATGTTGCGTGATATTATGTGTGTGTATATAGAATACCGCCATTCCAGGATCCTCAACTCCACACTGCGCTATTGATTGGCAAACCACATCAAACCTTGCTTACAAGAAAAATAGAGCTGGCCAGTGCACTGCTGCACCCATCGGTGAATCTTCACCAGGTAACATTTTTTGGTTTCAAATATGCACGTTACAGTTCCAAATTAGTTCTACGTATCCATTGACATGAAAAACATCTCAAACGCCGACTGTGTTACCTATTATTATATGGATATTTCCTTCCTCATCTATCAAAATACTTGATGAACTGTGCGTTCTTTCCTTCTTCATCCCTTCTTTTTCTTAATATTCAAACAGGAATGGGTCGATTGTGGTGACTTAACTGTGATCCTTAGCGTTTGATATAGTAAATTGTCCTCTAACATTTTTCTGTCAATGTGTTTTCCAATCCAAACAGAGCAACTTTTTCTGTAACTTAGATACATGTATAGCACCATGGAGCCAACATAGCTTATTGTTGTCTTATTATTGTCTTCCTACATGCAGATTCCCAATTTTGGCTTACACTAGACTATTTTTAGTGCAAGATAAAAATGAAAGGTATCTTCCTACTGCTCCGGTCTTATGAAGGTAGGCTTAATGATGTTATGCATGAGTTTTTTTTGCAGTTTACCTTTTCCCCTCCATATGTCTCATGTGTTACGGTTGCCAAATTCAAAAGCTTTTATTTGTGTATGACATATCTATATTAAACTTCTAATATTGTTTTTATACAAAAATTAAACATATTTTTTACATACATCTTAATCAGTGATTTACCGGCAGCCGCGAGTGCACGCTTAATGGACAGTTTCATATCATATCATAAACGTTCAGTCCTCCACAAGCCACAGCCAGCCAAAGCGGTGGCGTGCCCCCTGGTGCACACACCTTTTTCAACGCGATCTTCTACGCCGTTCTCCGGTGTAGTCACGTGTGCTGGAGATGATTGTCCGTAGAGAACCATTTTGTTGTCGATACGGCTACAGACTGCAGTAGTAGTTCGTATTCCGTCGTAAATGACCACGGAGTCCGGACAAATCCACGCGATGTACTTGGCAGTGCGTAATGGTAGTTCGTGCCGGTCCTACACATCCCTTGACTGCCTGACACGCCCGTCCAATTCGGTCGAGACCGGGCAATCAGTACCTGCCTCGGGAAGGACTTGAAGGAGAGCCGGCTGGCTGGACTCCTTGTACACGGCCTGCTGCTGGAGTGCTGCGTCGCGTCGTCGATTCTGCAGGGTTCGGTCACGGTCATCGTACAGGTACAAAGCAATTAGTGTCCAAGTACGCCAGTACGCCTCGCTCCCCAGCGGCCCAGCCTGTCCTCTGTCCTGTTCGCTCGTTTATAAACAATATTTTCTCAGCTAACGAATAATATTTTCTCTCGCAATAAATCAGTTAACAGTACTTTCAACTATGGTTTATCAACCAAATAAACAGGACATAGGACAGGTAACCAAGAAGTTCAAAAGAACATTACAAAAGTTGCGAACACACGGCAACTCCTGAAGCCAAACACCCAGTATCAAACAACCAGCAACTGCTAACTTGGAGAAGGCTTCAACCGTTCTGTTGACTATCATCCGAATCCTTCGGCAAGTGATGGTCACCCCTCCGCGGCTTCTTGTTCAGCAAGCTTGTTGCAATTCGTAGCATAGTGTTTATACCTTCCTCCAGAGCCTCTCTGTCCATCCCTGCATATAGTCCTGCCCAGCTGGGGCCTGTTCGCTTGAACTTATCAGCCGGCTTATCAGGTAGAATTTACAGTATTTTTTCTTTCACAATAAATCAGCTTCAGCCGGCTTATCAGCCAGCTTTAATACCCGCCGACATACTATATAGATTGGATTAAGTATTAATTTGCCTTCAAAGCACAGTTTATTCCTGGCTTTCCATATTGACCCCGTTCGACTTGCTGAAACTTGGTTGAAACTGGCTGAAAAATACTGTTCTGACAGAATTGTTGTAAGAGAAAAATATCGTTCCAACTAAAAAAAAAAAAGCCGAACAAACCGGTTTTAAGGTAAGCCGAACGGGGCCATTGCCCAGCAAACGGCCGCAATTCCCAAAGTATGAAATTTTTTGCCCAACGGCAACCACCTTTCACACCATTCCCAGCATTGGTTCAGAGACCTGGGTACATTATTAGCCCCAAAACAAACAGCCACAGTGGCCCAAACCACCTTGGCAGTACTACATTGAAATAACAGATGGTCAACAGTCTCAGGTTGAGAACAGAAGTAACATGAAGGATCCCCAGGACACATTTCCTTTTGACCATATTATCTTTGGTTAAAATAGCATTATTCAAAGCCATCCATATTTTTTTTTTCAATTTCTCAAGAATTTTCCCTTTCCAGATTTTCTTATGATATCTGCCGATTTCATTAACAGTGAGAGCATTGTAAACAGATTTAACTGAAAAGATACCTTTTAACCCAAATTTCCAAGATACCACATCATCATTCAACCCCAGCCCCCAGGTTAATCAAAGAAGTATCAAACATGATTCTTTCCCAATCATCTCTCCAGCTATCAACCAACCATCTAGTAAAGGTACAGCAGTGAAGTCGTTTTTCACTTGCTCAACAGTTATGTTTTGCTTAAGACACATAGCAAACAAGTCATGAAAGAGAACTTCCAGGGATTTTTCATATAACCATTTATCTCTCCAAAACAAAGTTTTTCAACCATTCCCAACAATAAATTTCCTGCCTCGAAGATAAACATCTCGAACTTTTAACAAATCAGACCAGATAGCAGAATCTGACTGCCTGTGCTTCACAGTACACACAGAATCGTGCTTGAGGTATTTATATTTAATAATTTCTTGCCAAATCCCGGACTCAGTTTCAAGTATCCACAACCATTTAGAAAGCAGGTTAACATTCATTTTCCTGATATCTTTAATACGTAGTCCCCCTTTTTTCTTACTCTTACAAATTTTAGTCCACCTGACGAGATGATATACAGCCTGATCGGTTGGGGCTGGCTGGCTAGCCCCCTCACATGGATACTATTCACACGAATCAGCCAGCAGTACTTCTCACTCACATAAACGAACCAGCAACGATACGAACCAGCCAACCGATCAGTTTGATATTTTCTTTGTTCCACCCCCTTGCCAGAAAAAAAGATCTTTCTGATTTTATCGTTACCGGAGTAGTTGCCGTTTTCGCCAGGGGAGACATTTCTGACCAAACATTGGTACTACTAGTATCAAGCGTCCGTGTTGGCGACGTGGGCAAGGTGCCCAGCGAGCTCAGCCGGCGCGGAGAACATGGCCATGTGGTCGGCGTCGGCGATCTCCCTCACCTCCGCCACGGGACAGCCGGCGATCATCGTGTGCTGGTACGCCTCGGTCATGGCCTGATCCTGCTTACAGACCACGTACACCTTGGTCACCGCACCGTACCTGGCCTCGCTGAACGGCGGCTGGCTCTGCAGGTCGGGCACGTAGTATGAGCTCACCCGGGCCAGGCTCTGGGACAGCGTGTAGTCCTGCCGAGATCAACAAATCGATTACTGGATATTTTCTGATTCATGAGACGATTCAATCAGCAGATTTGCAAGGGAGTGCACGAGAAGGTCGGAGTTGATACCTCCGGTGGGCTCAGCTGGTAGAGCTTATGGCGCAGGAATTCAGGCCCCAAGAACACCGAGGGTGGGGCGTGCTCTGCATCCGTGACGGTGTCCATCCAGTCTGGCACGGTAACCTTCGGGAGCACGGGATCGATCATTCATGTCAGCAGCAGGTCACTTTAGCTATCTCAACGACCAACAGCAAGAGGCGTAGACAGACGTACCTTCTCGATGACGTGCGAGCGTGGGTTGCTGCAGTCCGGCAGGAACGCGGTGACAAACACGGCGGCAGCCACTTTCTCCGGGAACATCTCCGCAGCGAGCGCGATGTTCATGCCGCCGAAGCTGTGGCCCACCAGGACCGCCCTCTCTCCCGGCAGGAGCGCCCGGAGCGCGTCGAGCAGCGGCCGCGTGTAGTCCTCGAAGGTGGGCACGTCGCGGAGCTGCCGCGAGTCGATGCCAGACGCCGCGAGGTCCAGCGCGTCCACGCGGTGTCCCGCGGCGCGGAGCAGCGTGGCCACACGGTACCAGCACCACCCGCCGTGGCCCGTGCCGTGCACCAGGATGATGCGCGTCGCTCCCTCGGCAGCCGTCGCAAGCGCGGGCGTCGACATGGTGCTGATGGGCTGCTGGCTTTAAGGTAGAAAAGAGGTAGCTTCGCTGAGTTTATATTAGAGATATAAAGGCACGCGGAACAGGCGGCGTCCCACGATGTCTAGGTACGTTTTATTTGTGCGTTAAATAGAAATTTCACGACTCAGATGAAGCGCGTCACAACTAGTCTTTCTCCATGCATTCGGCAGTGCATAGATAAAGCAAGTGAACGCATTTAATGAAGTAGATAAAAAATTGAATGACCATGTATGCAAGGACAATTTAACTGCAGGTGTACTTTACATGCAAAAAGTTACCACGGTAGAGGGATTTACACCACTGTGCTTTCACGTGTTCTTTACATAAAAAAAGTTACTATGACAGAAGAAATTTACATCACATGTGCCTTTTTCTTTTACATGAATGAATTTACTATCAATAGACACTAGACAGTAAATTTCCATGCATGCACGAGTGCCTCCCTAAACTATCCAGAAATTCACTCAGTAAATTTAAAAGCACCGGACATCTTCACCTATGCAGTGGACATATTTTGTAACACCTCGGGTGTTAGCCTTGCATAACTTGACTTGCATAATATGAGCATGATCATCAAGCATTCATAAACAAGCATTTACCATTGAAACATTGGATTGAAACATCTGCAACGTTTGCTTGTTATCGCATGTTTCTTAAACATATGCAACTTTTCTCGTTATTTCATGTCTCCATGTATCTATGCATATGATCATGAGTGTACACATGTACTTGGTGGATGTGAGTCACACAAACATGTAGCAACACCTAGGTTAGCAAATAGGACTTAGTTCATGGTCACATTTCATGAACCAACACTTAAGCTTTCATATGATTACACTAACTAGCTCTATGAGTGACTACTACATGAAATGATTGAATGACCTTGCAAATTGCTTAAACATGTTTAGAGTATCATTATGAACAATTTGGATATTCATGGTTAGGGGTAAATAGGTCATTAAGCCATGCTTTGATGTGTATCATCATTTAAAAGTGACATGTTTGACCAAATTTGAACTAGGTGTTAGAGATCTTGCATGGAGGAGATCACTAAAGCAAAGTTGTAGTATTTGACATAAGGAACAACTTTTATTTTTGGGTCATTGACTGATTTAGCTCCTAACATGCTTGAATTGAGATCACAAGAATTAGCAAAACCAACTTTTCAACACTTAACAAAATTTCTTTGAGTCTTGTTCACTGACAGACTGACAGCCGATCTTTGGGATGATCTAACTCGAGATTAGTTGAGAGTTTGGGCGTGAGTTCTAAACAAGAATTGGAGATGGTACTTAGGGCTACAATTTTCGTTTAAGAGTCATTCACTGAATCACCTTGTATCGACGGCTATTCCAACTCGAAGTCACGTCGTTAGGCTCGGTTTGCGCCATTGACCGACTGAATCGGTTGATTCAGTGGCCGACCGCCATCAGGCGCTGGCCGCCGCGTGGCGCGGGAATTGGCCGCGCGTCACCGGTGTTCTGCCCAGCGCAGCAGTGACGAGCCAGAGCGCGGCTTTAGCACCCCGCACTCGCCCGCTCCCTCCCGTGCTCACCATTTCCATTTCCTCACCGCAGCAGCAGCCAAGCTCTTCCCCGCCTCCGCCGTCGCCATAGCCGCACCAAGCCTCGCTGAGCCGCCCATTCGTCACCACCGTCACCCCAGCGACTCCCGGCGTCCCCCATTGCCCGCTGTTCCAGCTTGGTAAGCCACCGCAGTGCGCAACACCTCGACGGAGCTCCGCCGCTAGCCCCGTTACCGTGGCCACGTCGCCTCCGTCCACCATTGGCCGTGATAGCTTGTGGTATAGGATCGCCGTGGTCTAGAGATACTCGTCCAAGCCTTAGTTGGAGCTGCCGTAGCTTCCACCGGCACCTCGCCGTCGTTCAGCGCCACCGTTCCGCCATGGCCGCCGTCGTCGTCACTAGCGTCGATGATAGGGCCGGGCAAGTAGTGCAAACGATGCGCCTCGTCGAGTAGATCATACCATGAAGACCTCACCGCCGGCGAACCCGCCGTCGACGAGCCATGGCCGCACAAGCTTGCGCAAGCGCCGCTGCTCTGTTTCGTGTCATTGACGCGTGGGTCCCTGCTGTCAGCGACAGTAGGAGATAGGGTAGTTCAAATATTCTAGATTTTGTGTGTGTTTTGTAATTTCTAGATCTCCAGTTTGGTAGCTTCAAAAATTGTGAAATAAATTTGGTTATGTTCCTTAGGAAGTGTAGTATTTAGGAAAAATATATTCTTGACATTTACAGTAGAAATTTTGGGAGATTTAAATGGAGATTTGAAATGTGTTTTTGAATGCATGCAAATTTGTTTATTTTATATCTAGAGTTCCTGTGCTCCAAAAATTATGAAATTTTTGTGGTAAGCTATTCTTGTCATGTATGAACTCTGGTAAAAATTTGAAGATTAGTACATGTGTAGATTTATAGTTATAGATTTTTCTTTTATAAATAGTTAATCCTTGTATGAACTTTTATAAATTAATTATGAATCTAAAATTCATGAAATTTGTTGGAGGTAATCCTAGTAGTATTTGGATGCTAAGAAAAATAGGAAATTTGTTGCTTGACCCTTTTCACTAGGGTTTTCTATTTATGCTATTTTAAGCCTTGCTGCCTTGTCATTTTTGTATAGGATGTTCTACTTGGCAAAATGGCATAAAATTTTTACAGTAGTCTATTAGTAGCACTAGTAAGCCACTGTAATGTTCTGAGAATTTATGATGCACATTTGATATATGTTTATTATTTAACCTAAATATCTAAATAAAATAATAAAGACATTTAAATAAATAGTTTGGGCTTCACCATTATGTTTTTTTAGATGTATTTTGTATGCTTAAACTGTTGGTAGACTTTTGGTTGTAAAAATTTGAATACTTATATGAAGAAGAAGTATTGTTATTTTATAATACGAATTGGAATAGTTTCCAGACAGATTCTGGAGTTTGCTAAGTTGCATGATAGAGATGATGTTTGCTGTAAAAATGGTTAATAACAAAGTTGTAGATAATTTGATAAGCTTTCCGGAAAGTCCAGAATCACTGTATTTGGATTAGTAGAACTCCAGTTATGAGTAAAACAAGTAGCTGCTGTTTTGTGATATAGTCGATGCATTGTGGAAGTAGTAATTAAATAATCGAGAAGAGATATGCACCTACTCAATAAACATGATGCACTTGTTAACATATATGCATTCGTAATACTTATGCCATATTCATGCATCTAGGATCGGAGGAAGAGATAACGTTGCTGGAATTCGAAGAAGCAGAGGAAGGGGACCAACAGGAGAATCCAAAAGCCGTAGCTCCCGAAGGCGTGGAGCAGAATCCTGAAGAGCTTCCGGAGTGTCCTGATCACCGCCCTACTTCCTTTCTGCGAGGCAAGCCCCGGAGCATTCTAAGTCTCCCAATATTTTACAAATGATAACTTAAGTACTTATGATTGATGCATTAGGTTATAAGAGTTGAATGGAACCACTTAATGCATATACATTCCTTGTCCAGCTATTACACCTTTAACCGGTATAGGTCCAGGATCGAATATATGCTTAGCCATGCTTAGACCGGTAGAAGTCGGGTGATTTCCTGTCACCTGCGAGATATAGGTGGATACCGGAGCACGGTTTGTTATAATTGCTATCGTGGAAAAGAACCATGGTTAATGTAAATGGAGACCGGACGGGATGTCGATAGAGAAGCAACAAGACATGGAGGTCTTGGGTGTGGATCTATCCCCGTCTGTGTCGATTAAGGACCGTACCGTTGTTGGTGCTTCTAACAAGATTGAACGCATGCCTCTCACTTAGCTGGCCGGATAACTCGTTCCGACCGCGAAGCCGAGTAATTCAACTCAGGCCGGGACCCGTTCTGTTGTGCGCTCCTTCCGGGGAACGATCAGACTGAGCCCAAGGGCAGGCTAGGCCTGAACGTCCTGGCATCTGGTGTTCTAGATTGTGCGGCGCGGTACGGACCCACGAAATGTGTACCTGAGTTGTACCAAAGGTGACCTAAGGCTATCGTGGCTGGTAGACCTAGGTTTGTGTTAGGAATAAATTCCCAGCTGGTTGAAATCGATTCGAATCATCGTCTCTCCCGGATAGTGAGAAACTTGGCTAATCCCAACATCGTAGTAACTGTGTTATGGAACATGATGGTTCGAATGAATATGGAATTACAATACCTGCTATGGTTACTATTGTATGCTTTTAAATGGATATACCACATGTTTGGCACAGGATAGTTGCTAATCTAGAGATGGATAGTTATAAATAATTGATAAAGGAATCCTAATTGTACAATAAGTCAATTGCTTTTATGCAAAATGTTGTCAAGCTATCTCCACTTATACAGCCTTGCATAATCCTTGGAGTCATTTTATTTCTGGTTTATGGCGGGTAAGTATAGCTGAGTACCTTCTCGTACTCAGGGTTTTATTTTCCCATGTTGCAGATGGCACTGTGTATTATGGTTATTGCAAGAGTTGCTTCTATCCCGCTGTGGATGAGGAGTAAGCCTTGGGTAGGCTTCTTATTAATCCTTCTACATGCTTTTGTGGACCATGATCGTATTTCGGCACTGTACTAAACTATGTTGGAAACTTTACTTTCAAACTTAATTTGCTTCCGCTTTTATCTATCAAACTCGGTTTGTAATAACTTTTATTCGTACTCTGATGGAGAAATGTATCTGTGAACTTTATGTAATATGTGGCATGTATGTTGAATCATGTATGATCTTGGTTGTTGTAAATCGTTTATCGATACCTGTCGTGGTACTCGATGGACTACCGGGTTTATATGGGTTCAAGTATGACAGTGCGACCGCTTGCGGGCTGCCATTGTACTTGTACTCTTATAAATTGGTCGGTTCTGCGACAGCTGGTATCAGAGCAAGATTCAACGTTAATTGTCACATGTGTATTTAAAACAAAAGTTTTTGTTTTCCAAAAACCCTTCTCTAGCACTGATAGCT